TTGCACAAATTCGAACCTCTGGGTTGTGCTGTTCTGTTGTAAATACATTTTAAACAATGATTCCTAATTGCATCTACTTTCGGAAGTTTCCAAATAAAGTGCTTTTGCTTTCGCACTGAAACACACAGCGTCTCCCTGACATGCTGCATCAACACGACTGCTGTTCCTGAAACCACGCCTTCTTTCTTTGCGCACATTTGGGCGGAATTATGCTAATATTTCCACATAGTGACGTAGGTACATGGGGGCGTGTTAGAACGAGCCGTTTTAGGTAGGTGTGGCTGACTCTTAGCTTTTATAAAGAATATCTCTTTGGATTTGAGACTTTAGTCTTTGCAACTTTACAGATCTTCTTTATGCACCAAGAGCTTGTAACACTCCAAAGAGAAAGGACAATTTAAAATTGCATCATATGACACCTTTAAAGTGATTCCTACAATATCATTCCTCTTCATACTTATAGTTTTAATGCTTGGTGTGAACAGGCCTTTACTACCTGATTTCTGTAAATGAATGAACTGTGTACAGAACAACTGTATTTAGCTGCAGTGTGTATGGGACCAAATATGTGCTTAACAGAAATAAAAACATGTGAATAAATCTGGTGCAGTTGACGTTACCTTCTCTCTTCTTTTAGGATCTTACGCAATTTCTCTGCACTTGTCTCCACAGTCTTAGTTTGTTCCTGCTCTTTGGCAGCTTCCTGTTCTTTCAGTTTAAGCGATTTCTTTAAAGCAGTTCATTGACAGGGTAAAATTGGAATAATTTTCAGGAAATTAATCAAGCATGCATGCGTACAGGCATCCAGCATGAGCAATTTCGCACAAGTGCCGTTTTCACAACCCAGGCATCAGGATGTTAAGCAATGACAAAATGCGAGAAAACATTTTATATTTAGCAATGATCGTGAGATGTAATTACCGTCGTACCAGGAACAGAATACAAACCAAAGGTGGAGGGGTTTTATTTCCACATGGGGCATTTATGTCAACCCAGTGCAATGAGGGTTAAAAGGTCCCATCAGTCAGGTTTCACAGGTCCAAGATCAGATAGACACATAAATAACAAAAATACTTCATCAGTACTCCAATAATTGTCAGTTAAAAACAACTTTTTGAGAATTAAAAACTGCAGACTTGATTTATGAACAGTGTATCAGTACACCAAAAATGAACCGCTGCTGAATATTTACTCACCCTCAGGTCATCTAAGATGTAGATGAGTTTGT